GACCACCCTCAGCCCACCCTGCCCTTGCCCCACAACCACTTTTCCCCCTTTTCGCTCGCCCCTGGGATCCCCCGACGGGGCGGCCGCTGCCGACCCCCGGGAGCCCCGCGCGGTCCCTGCGCCCGCCCCGTCCCCCCTGCGCCTTCCCTCCCCTCCTTTGCAGCCTGGGGAATGCCCTGGATGAGGCCCCGCAGCCCCTCCCGGGGCTCCCCGCCGGGCCGGGGGGCGGGATGCGGCTCCACGCGCGATGCGGGGCGGAGGGATGTGCGCGTCCCCCCCGGTACCTGCGACACCGAGCGCCGTGGGTGGGAACGTCCTGCTCCTCCGGGACTGAAAGGCTCACGAAGCGGGAGGGGAAAAAAAAAAAAAAAAAAAAGACAAAACAGGACAAAAAAACCCCAACAACACAAAAATCCCGCTGAGAGCGGCGGTGCCGGAGCCTCCCGGTGAACAACAGCCCGCGAAGGGAACGCTCCTCCTCATCCTCACGGGAACGGCGGCGGGCAGCGGGCGGCTCCCAGCCCGGAGCACCCCGGACCCCCGGCAGGTAAGAGCGCTCCGGGACCGGGGCTGGGACAGCGGGGTCCCTCAGACAGACCGGGACCACCCCAAAACCCAGCCAGAGCCGCGGGGTTCAGCCTGTGCCGGAGTGGGAGCGGGACCCTGGCGAAGCACAGAAGGGCTGGTTCGACTCTTGCGGGGGCATGAGGCAGAATTAAAGAGTTCAACCGAGCTTCAGAATTTTCATTCTCTAATAGTTAATGAGCATTTTGGCTCCTCGGCTGCAAGTTTCCGGATGATTTTTGTGTTCCTGCCCCGGGCAGGGCACGGGGACCCGGAGCTGTGATACCACAGCGTGCGCTCTGCCTGTGCAGCCGGGGTGCAGAAAACCACAGTATCCCTCGGTTAATTACAGGGGTTACTTAATTAATGCTGGTTTGACTCTCCACTGGGGGGAAAAGACTGTTCAGATCCTAGTGAGGGGAACGAAACATTAATTTTGACACCGTGGGGTCCAAGAGAAGGGTCCTGGAGGGGAATTCTTCATTCCCATACACTTTCTGCTGGAATATATCTGACCGCATCCCCTCTGTGCTTCTGTGAGCAGGTTTGTGGAGGTTCCCAGGGAGCCAGGCATTCCCTTCCTCCCTCCATCCCTCCCAGCCCAGATGCTACAGGGAAAGACAGGAGAAGCCGAAGTTCCGTGGATGGTGGAGAAATAACTTAAGGGGGTGAAATAACCCAGCGGGATGGGGGAATGGGGCTGGCAGGGAGAGACACCGGAGCGCAGGGGATGGAAAGGACCCTCCTGCCCAGCCGGGTGGGCGGGTGCTGGTGGGTTGGAGTGGAATTAACTGGGGTAAAATGAAAAGCAAGAAATGCAGGAGTGCCTTTTATTTCTGCCTCCATGAGGCTTCCGGAGCTGCTTTCCGGATCCTGCTGCCCCAAACTGGCAGCTCCCCGCAGATCTGGGCTGGCTGATTAACCATTTCACAGCCAGCTTCCCAACTTTGCTCCTTACTGGTGGCTGTGCAGGAGGACCTGGATGCTGGGGACGGCTCCTTCTGCCCAGAAGTTTAACCCACAAGCGTTTCTCTCCCCTCCAGGGCTCGCAGGTTCATCTCTGCTTGACTTTGAGGTGTGGAGAAGCCACATCGGCCACAGGGGCTCCCATGGCTCGACTGCTCAACAACTCCTGGCACAACAGCACAGTCCCCCTGTTCACCGGCCTGGACCTGCTCCTGGAGCTGAAGCCACTCTTCATCCCGCTCTACGCCACGCTGGTGGCCGTGGCCTGCACCGGGAACCTCTTCCTCATCCTGCTCATCGCTCTCACCAAGAAGCTGCACTGCACCACCAACTTCCTGATCGGGAACCTGGCGGTGGCCGACTTCGTCATGTGCCTGGCCTGCGTCCCCCTCACCGTGTCCTACGCCTTCGAGGCGCGGGGGTGGCTCTTCGGCGTGTTCATGTGCCACTTTGTCACCCTGCTGCAGGCTGCCACCGTGTTCGTGTCCGTGCTGTCCCTCACGGCCATCGCCATCGACCGCTACGTGGTGGTGGCGTATCCGATCCGCAGGCGGATCGGCCGCAGGGCCTGCGTGTGCCTCGTGGCCTGCATTTGGCTGCTCTCCATCGTGGCCTCCGTCCCCACCTCGCTGCACACCCACTACCTGGACCTCAACGCCATCGGCCATGACATGATCATCTGCGAGGAGTTCTGGAAGCACGAGGAGAGGGAGCGGCTGCTCTACTCGTGTCTGATGCTCCTCCTGTCCTACATGCTCCCGCTGCTGGCAGTGTCCGTCTCCTTCTGTGCCATCACCTACCGCCTGCACAGGAGGAACGTGCCGGGCGCTGCCTATCGCTGCCAGGACAAGTGGACCAGGACCAAGCAGAAGACCTTCCGGGTGCTCACTGTCTCCGTGGTCTGTTTTGCCATCTGCTGGCTCCCTCTCCAGGTGGTCAACTTCATCCGGGACATCGACGAGGAGTTCACCATCCTGGACAAGAGGTACGTCAACGTCATCCAGGTCTCGTGCCACCTGATTGCCATGAGCTCTGCCTGCTACAACCCTTTCATCTACGCCTCCCTCCACGACAAGTTCTGGTTCCACCTCAGCAGCCACTTCTACCGCAAGAAGAAGAGCTCTGGCACCGTGTCCTGCAAGGCTTCCCGCTTCAACACCTGCTCCACCCTGGCAGATGCTCCCACCAGCGCCTCGGATAAGATGGCTTTGCAAACCAGGTTATCTTAGCTGGAGGACCTCAAGGGAGAGGGTTTGCTTTTGGACCTGGCGGGTGCTTGGTTGTACACTGGGTGTGGGAGGTGGCTGCTGGTTGGGCTGGTTTGTTGCTGCTCCCAGAAAAGTCTCTCGTGCCTGGAAAGGCAACAAAACTGACAGGCTTTGTGTCCTAGAATTATGGAATGGTTTGGGTTGGAAGGGACCTTAAAGCTCTTCTCATTCCAACCCCCCTGCCACGGGGAGGGACACCTTCCTCTAGCCCAGGTTGCTCCAAGCCCCATCCAACCCAGCCTTGGACACTTCCAGGGATGGAGAAAGTGTCCTCATCACTTGAACAGCTTTTGTTCTTTGGGGACAACAAACCAGTGCAACAACAAACACTTGAGCCAGGCAAAGGTTTTGATGAAGCAGCAGTTTCTTGGCTCGTTGGAACAGTGCGATGGATGAGTATCGTGGCTGGGGATGGGGCATATCCCTCTATCCCAAATCTTGGCTGGATGTCGTAGGTGTCCAGAACCATATCTGGAGCACAAAGACTTCACTCCATGGCATATTTAGAAGGTGGGTCAGCGCCTGAGCAAGGCAAACACCCCTTGGGCGCATTTGAAAAACTCTTTAGAGAGCGCACGTCTTCGTTCTGTAGCATAAAGATTGTTCCTAAGCAACAGGCAGCACTTTGTGCCGTGGGAAGAGGTCGGCTCGCACGGGGAGCCATGAAATTGCTGCGCATTTATCCTTTTAAATTGTGGGTTATTGGTGGGAGGACAAAGGAGGCTCAGAAACGTGCGTTCTGCAGGTGGAGATGGGGACACGTGGCCGCCGACAGCAGGCGGCTGGTTTGGAACGGGGGGGGGACTCCATAACCTGCCTGGCTTGCTGGAGGAGCCGCCCCTGTAACCAGACCGGGCATCCCAGTTTCTCCAGCCAGATGTGCAGATGCAGCAAGCCTCATCCCTGAAATCATCGCTGCTCTGCACGGCCGAGTAGGACTCGAAAGATCCCAAGTGATGAGTTTTCTGGGGGTGATGCCTCAATCTCCGCTCCCTGGGCAGTTTAGGTGGTGTATGTCCATGTTCAGGCTCCTGTGGTGGAGGTGGGAACCCAGTGCTGGGCTGCTCTATCACAGAAACTGCTGGATAAAGGGTGGGTTCTCTTGTCAGATGCTCCTTGGCATCTCAGGTGCCTCTGAGGCCCATCATGCAAGCAGCACACACAGAAAGCAGAATCTCCTTGCACCCACTGCCCAGCTCGGTTTTAACCTCTTGATTTCCCAGGAGAAGCCTTTGGGAACAGCTCCCAAACACCAGCACCCCCACAGCCACCACGTCTTGGGGTCCCAGCAGCTCCTGGCCACCAGTGGCCATGCCTCTGCCTCACCATGAGCTTCTGTGCTCTGTGGGGCTGAGGACTTTAAAGCCCCCAGGCAGCACATCCTCAGCTCTGCATGGAAACCGTCCTGGCATTGCCCATCCCTCCTGCTTCAGTGAGCAGCTCGGGCTCCCCCGGGCAGACACAGCTGGCTGGATCCCAACAGGATCCCTAATCCACTCCCCTTATGCCCATCCACAAGCTGCTGCTCGCTCACCTTCCTGCTGAGACCTCCATGGTTATCCTAGAAGGACCATATGATCTTGCTGTGGGGTGACCAGCAGAGACAGGGACGCATCCAACGTGATTCCAGTGACCTCTATCCCGTTCCCACAGAGCAGCTCCCTCCTTGGCTTCCTGCATCTTCGTTGGGGCTGGGCTGGGCTGCTCATCCCAGAGAAGCCAAGCAAAGCCCTGATTGTCCTTCCTGTAATAAAGGCTTTAAAAGCTCAGGCTGTGTGTGTGTGTTGGTGTGAATCCCACAAAACCAAGAAATCCTTGACTGCAGGTCAGTCACATCACAGGAGGATGCTGACTGGGATGTATTTAGCTCTGTCACCATATCTGTCTGATATTTCTTCCCAGTATCCCACCTAACCCTGTCCTCTGTCAGTTTGAAGCCATTCTCCGTTGTCCTCTCACTACCAGTCTTGATTCCTTCTCTCTTCATTTCCTCCCATCACAATCTCTATTATTTCACTCTTAGTTAAAACCCCTAAATTGCCCTAAATGGCTCTTCTTGCCCTTTTTTCTCCCCCCAACTCTGTCTCAGAGACATTATTGTGACAAGGTGGGTGGCTTGGAAAGAGGAGACCTTCCCCCCCCCACACTCATCCCCATCACTGCAACCATTTATCTGCAGGACCATTTAAAAATCCATATATCCATCCTGGAGAACTCATCCACAAGGAGGACGAGGTTTCCTCTTCCGTGTTTCCAGACTAGACTGGAATTTGCAGTTACTTAGCACCGAGAGAGCAAATCCCCACCCTCAGGTCCCCCTGCTGAGATGTTTTGCTCATTCCCCAAATTACCCTGCAGGAAAAGGGAAAACACTATTTTGGGGGGGGTGGATTAAAAGCTGAGTGACTTCAGAAAATAAACCCAGAAATCCCGGAGCTGCCGTCTCCGATTCACAGAAACCGGATACATAAAGGAGAGCACCGTTTGTTTTCTTAATGGAAATAAATTAATTAGATAAACTGGGGAGAAAAACATGTTTGAGGGCTGATTCTGCAGAGCTTTCCTCGCTGGGAGGTTTTCTACCAGGAACCTGTGGGTATAAAGGGGATATTTTTGTTAAATCATCCTCAGTTATTAATAGTTTTGCCCAATACTCTGCCCGAGCACTTTTCCTCCTCACAAACTCTCTTGTCGGTTGAAAAATGGTTAATAATGAATGGACTCTATGATCTTAAAGGTCTTTTCCCAACTAAACAATTCCATAATTCTACGATCCTCTTTTCTACTGGCATTTGGTGCCTGTAGCTTTCCCACCTGCCAGGGCACCGCCCAGGAACATCCAAGATCGCCTGTTTGGAGTTGTCATTGACTTGGAAACTGGGAATGCTGCATTTAGGTAAATCTCCATCCGCTTTTTGCTCACACAACCCTCCTTAGATTGATTATAATTAGTGATTTCAATAGCCCAGATACGTGACTTCAGCCTCCCTGTTTGTTTTTGTCCCCCATGCCCACCCTCCAACCACCCTCCTACCTCTGGTGACTTGGTGGCTTCTTCCTCACACTCAGGAAGCCAGGATGCTGACACTTCCCTGAGTTGTGTGAGGGCACCTTCAGGGACCACCTTCCTGAATGACAACCCCCAGCATCAGCTTTGTGCAGGGATTTTTAAACTGAATAAGGACAGGGTTAGATGGGTTATTGGGAAGAAATCCTTCCCTGTGAGGGTGGGGAGGCCCTGGCACAGGTTGCCCAGAGAAGCTGTGGCTGCCCCATTCCTGGAAGTGTTCAAGGCCAGGTTGGACAGGGCTTGGAGCAACCTGGGCTAGTAGAAGGTGTCCCTGCCCATGGCAGGGGACTGGAATGAGATGAGCTTTAAGGTCCCTTCCAACCCAAACCTTTCCAAGATTCCATGATTCTGTGTCTTAGCACCTGGCACGGAAGAACAACCACACGTCCTTCCCAAACCTCCTCATTTCTCATCACATTTCTAATCACTCTCTGCCTTGGGTTGTTTAGAAAGTTGGAAAACTTCCCTCGGTGTAATGACCCTGCCAATGGGGTTTTCCTCATCAGAAACCTCCAAAACGGAAAATATTGGAGACCAACAGTGGGATTTAACAGCAGGAAGCGCCCGGGCCATTTAGGTTCAGCCTGTTTAGATGTCTACAGCTCTAAGGGGCAGATAATGTAATCTGTTACAGTGCTGTTCTTTCGAAAGTACTCGAGAGATTATCATTTGAAAGAGCTTACCTACATGCAAGGTATTATTCCCATTACTTGATCCCCATCCAGGTTTCTCCCACGGCTGCAGATGATGAGGCTCTTTGTCCTGGCGCTGCAGAATGAATCGTGATGAGCAAGGATCAACTGCTGCTTCCATGTGTACTCTTGGAAATTTCCTCCTCTGTCTCCTAATCAAGAACAGCAAACAAAATTAGCCTGGTTATTTTCCACTGGTTTTAGCCTCCCCCCCCCCCCCTTGCTGTGTTTGTTCTGTCTGGATGTCATCAGTGATGACAAAACAGCCAGAACAGAGGAGCTCCTTGGCTGAGCCGGGATTGTTGGGCAGATTTTGTTTGTGGAGCTGGAAAATGCTTAGAAAATGTTGGTTCATTTTGTCTCATTACTGCTATTTCCTGGTTTATTAAGAATAATATTCCAACCCAAGCCACCGCTTCTGATTTCCTTGAGAGGTCTTGCAAAATACCTTTCACATTTCTCTGAGCAGATTCCATGGGCTGTGCCCAGCTGTGCCCAACTCTTTCTTCCTGGGCCTTGGCTCCAGCTAAAGAGGCAGATTTGCAACATGTACATGAGTAAATTAGGCTTATTTTCACTTATCTTGGCTAAAAACACAGTTGCTACAGCTCAGGCCCCAGTAATGATCCTGGAATGGTTTGGGTGGGAAGGGACCTTAAAGCTCATCCAGTCCCACCCCCTGCCATGGACAAGGAACCTTCCACTAGCCCAGGTTGCTCCAAGCCCCATCCAACCCTTGGACACTCTGGGGCTGGATCCCATGGGATCAGACGGACTGAACACCTCCCTATGGATGTCACCTCTCTGTGAACCACTGGATCCTTCAGCAGTGGTGAATTATTGAAAGTGCCGCAGCTGATTTACGGATGCGCCCGCTTCCAACTCATCCCGTATTCCCCCACTGCCTCTGCTCACTGTGAGACACTCCGGAGCGCTCACATTTTAATTTCTGTGAGCGTGGCAGGCTCCCGCTGCAGCAAACGAACCAAGATTTCCTAAACCCCAGTTTACTTCTCATCCATCAGTTTTATCCGTCATCCCGCTCCCGCAGCCGATGCCAAGAAGCTCCTTAATCACACGCCACGGTCACCGCACCCTCACTCAGGGACAAATCCGGCACTTGCCAGACTTAATTTAACATTGTCCCCGAGCTGGTGATGAGGGATGGGGTGCTTTGTGCCAGTCCCAAAAACCTACAGCCACATGCCAGCTCGGTGCGACCACCCAGGGCTCTCCCGCAGGCCGAGGATGGAGCAGGGCTGGGAGACACCCCAAAAATCCCACACCCAAAGCATCACTTTTACTAATCACTTTGTGTATTAATATCCAGTTTTGGGAGCGATGAGGGAGACCCAGACACTTCCTGCAGCAGGGACGGGGTCATCACACATCCCCTGGCAGCAAAGACCTCGGGGTGATGCTCCAGAACCCCCCACAGGGTCCCACCACAGCAGGGTCCCAGGCAGGGGGTGGTGGGTGGTTGTTTGCACCCCTGGATCACTCCAGCCCATCTCCTGGCTCTGATTAGGGTAATTAGGTGGAGGCCACGGGCAGCGTGCGGGTGCCGGGCGCTAATTCCATAAAGGAGGCGAGCGCTGTGATTACCGCGGAGGAAAGCGCTGCCGAGCGGCTCCTGGTTGCCATAGGAACCCATCAACCCCTGGGAAAAGCCAAATTGCTGGACTGAGTCGGCTCCCTCGGCGGCAGCAGTGGGGGGCTCTGCCTGGTGACACCTCTCCTGCTCCAGGAAGCAGGAATGGAACCAGGGCAACCTCAGGGGGCGAAACGTAGTGATGGGGATGCCTAGAACTCCAGGCAGACCTTAGAGCCCTTTCCTGTCCCTAAAGGGGCTCCAAGAGAGCTGCAGAAGGACTTTGGACAAGGGCCTGAAGTGACAGGACAAGGGGGAATGGCTTCTCACTGCCAGAGGGCAGGGTTAGATGGGGTATTGGGAAGAAATCCTTCCCTGTGAGGGTGGGGAAGCCCCGGCACAAGTTGCCCAGAGAAGTTGTGGCTGCCCCATCCCTGGGAGCGTCCAAGGCCAGGTTGGACAGGGCTTGGAGCAAGCTGGGTTAGAGGAAGGTGTCCCTGCCCATGGTAAGGAGCGAATGGGATGGGCTGCCCTGGCAGGGGGATGAAAGGCCCCTGCAGGTTTTACCAGGGCTCCATTGCTGAGCCTCTGTGTGATGCTGATAAAGCTCCAAAGTTTGGACTAGGATCCTCGCAGCTACTTATCCCAAAAAACACAGCAAAAAAGGGCATTGCAATAGTCCCACTGGCTGGCAACAAGACCTTGGAGAAGCAAACAGATGAATTTTTAAGATTTACCTTCAAACTCAGCCCAGGGCACAGCCTGGTCCTTCTCACTCACCGGCAGGGACTGTCACCTCCAGGGCCACCCCGAGCCCAGAGCAATGCCTGGAGATATCCAGGCAGTTTTACTGATGCTCATCCCTCCTGTATTAACAGGAAATCTTAATTTCTCTCTTTGCCACGGGGTGTTTCCAGGCTGGCAGTTCCTTCCTTCCACCTTCCTGGGTCTCCATAGTTATTTACATGTGGGCTGTGTTTATTGGCAATTAAATGGTTCAGTGGCTCCGAGACATCAGTCTCCTCTTAACATGTTGTCTGCCAGATTGCTTCCTGCCGGCAGTCCCTGTGGGATGGGGAATTCTGCCGAGCCCTGCGGGGCTGCCTGTGGATGGGAGGGAGCAGCTGGCAGAGCTCCCCCCCACTCGGAAGAACAACGCTCTGGCAGAGCAGGTTTGGAATTTGGAGCCAAAGGGAGGGGGTGAGATTGTGTTAAACACTGTGAAACCAGGCGGATCCGAGCCCTGGGAGAGCAGAGGGGTGGGCAGGGATGGGCTGTGCAGCAGCATCCCAGCCTGGAGCAGGGAATGGAGGGATGTGGCAGCCTGGGATGGGGCTGTGCAAGAGACTTTGTGCCTTTGCAGCTCTGTCCTGTCAGTGCCGGGAATTTGCTGCCGGAGCCAGTCCTGGCTCCAAGGAGCTCTTTGTGAGCACTCAGCAGGGAAGAGCCCCCAGCCCTGCTTTCCCAACAGGACTCTGCCACAAACCAGATGTTTCTGTGGCCACCCAGAGCATCTCCAGCTACTCATCCCCAGCCGATGCTGCTCGGTTCCTTCCAATCCCCCAGCCCCAAAACACCCCCCAGCCCTAGAATGCCTCCCTCAATCCCACAGAACAACTTGATTCTGGATGGGGCTTGGAGCAACCTGGGCTAGTGGAAGGTGCCCCCGTCCATGGCAGGGGGTGGAACTGGATGGTTTTTAAGGTCCTTTCCCACCCAAATCACTCTGGGATTCTCCCCAAAGTTGGGCTCGCTGGGCTCTTATCAGCTCCACTTGGACTTGCTAATGATCAGGCAGTGGGATGGGGGTGTGGGATGAGTAAACAGCGTGGGGATCCAGATATTTATATGTATTTGTTGTGGTTTTACATTTTAAATCTCAAGCCTTTGCTGTTTCCCCCTGCCCAGCCCTTTCCTGGGTTAGAAACGGGCCTGGATCACCACAATTCCACCCCTCTGCCAGCAGGAGATCTGGGCCCTTGCCCAGCCACACTCTTTATCCTTTACTCCTCACTCTGGCACCTTCAAAGTCCCTCAGCAGGGGTTTCCTCAGGCACCTTCGTGTTGCTGCTGGTTCCCCCACCCCTGTTTTCCTTCTCACCTGATGCTCCCCAGTAAACAGGATTGCTGGCAGCTTTTCCCAAGCCCTCGGTTCTTCCAGGAGTGCAGAAGGATGTGTTTAAGCCCTGAAGTGCCCTGTTGTTCCCCATTCCAAGCTCCCACCAGCAAATAGCACACTCACCAGAGCCACGGAAAGGTGCGGTTCCCATGCTGATCCCGGGCCTCACTGCAGAGCTCAGCGAGGATAAACCCTGATGGAGATTTATTTTAGTCCCTCTCATAGCTCAGCAAGGATTCTGTGGCTCCCATTAGCACTTTGGGGAGGTATAAAGCAAATTCCTCAAGTTTCTTGCCTGGAAATCACATTAAGATTTGCTAAAAGCAACAGAAGATGCAGTTTATAATTCTGGGTCTGCAAAGGAAAAGCTTTTGGTGAGTTTAAATCCAAAGGTGGGTTTTTTCCCCCCAAAGAAAAGGAAGCCACCACCAATGTCTTTATAGGCAAATGGAAAACAGACTTGGAAAATGCCCTGACATGGAGAAGAGGTTGGATATAACCAGGGAGGAGACTCCTGCCTTTTACCTTAGACGGGATTCCAGCTTTGGATTCCCGCTACAGACGTCCTTTGGGATCTCAAATGTGGGGCAGCCCTGCTGAACTTGGTGGCACCAGTGCTGCAGGGAGAGCAGCTGAGGTTCTACAGAACCTTCCCACCCGACCGTGACATTTCTGATTTCTCTTCTTTTAACCCAGAGCACCGACTGCCAAGGATAAGGGTATCCAAGGAAAAGCACGTGGAGGCAGGTGGGCCCTGGCAGAAGGTGTGTGACCGACAGGTGTCCCCTCCTCCCTCCCGCTGGCGCTGGGCCTCGGGGATATTTTGCTCGAGATGCGACTTCCATTATTTCCATGGCAACCATCCTTTGCCGGGGCTCAAGACGCGAAGGTTTTTTAACAACTCCCCGTTTGCCAATTCAAGCCCCAGAAGGAAGTGGGGAAGTTCTCATTCACATGCAAAACAGCCGCGATAAAAGCCGAGGGGTGCGGCGAAGGGGGCAGAGCTCGGGCTCTTCGCCTCGGCCTTCCTCCTTTCCGTGCTTTACAGCGGGAAAGAGCCCTGTCCAGGAACACTCTGGGATCCACCACACGAGTGTGTTGGGGCACAGTTCTGTCAAACCCACCCATGGCAGCGGATGGAACTTGATGAGCTTTAAGGTCCCTTCGGAGCCAAACCATTCCATGATTCTATGAATAGCAAAATATCTCTACACACAACAGATCCACTGGAGACATTTTCCTTTGGCTCCACTTTTGTACCTGAGCTGCTGTGAACCCCCTCCTCCCTGCTCCCACAGCCATCCCCTCTTACCCTGTGCTCCAGAGGATGGCTGGATCCTCCTCCCACCTCCAGCACCTGCTGGCAGCTGTGGAATGTCCTCCTGATTTATTCTACCCTGGAGAAACACCTGACAAAGGAAAGAAATTACACAGCTGCCGAGGGAAGTGACTTTTATTTTTCTTCCTACTTGTCCAAAGCTTCCTCGGAGAATTGTGCCATTGGCCACGGATAAAGTGAAGCCCCAGTGATGGAAACCTGATGGATTTCTCATTTTTGCTGACTTACAGACTGCCCAAGCTACAAGGTTCCACCTGCATTAAAATCCTCCTTACTGGAGGGTAAAAGGAGGTGGGAGTCCATTTGCTTTATTTAAAGAGAAAAAAGCGACCAGTGATACCCAGAAAATGAGTGAGAGAGTCAGAGAAAAGCAAAATCCTTCTGTGCACAGTAAATTAGATTAAAGGGACAAGAGACTGAAATTTAATATAGGGAACAGAAGTTGCAGCAGATAAACAAACAAGCAGCATAAACCTTGAAAACTACTGAGAAATAAACATTTAATTAAAAACCCAATCACCAAACAAGCAGGAAATGTTCCCTCAGCTTCCAAGAAGCACAGATAGTGAAGTCTCACCGGCTTATTCCTAGTTAGGGAGACCTGGATGTCAGGTTTAATTACAGCTCAGCACACACCCCCATCAGCATCTGTTTTATGAAATAAAATCCGATTCCCAGCTGGATCTGGTGCCTGTGGCTGGAGGACAGGACAGATCTCCAGCTCTTCCAGCACCAGGCACCAAAACCCCTGGGGACAGACAGGAATGTTGCACAAGGAGAGCAAAGCCAATTTCTTACCCATTTTTGTCCAGGATTGGTGGCTGCAGATTCAGGACACAGCCAGGAGCTCAAATCCATGAATGCAGCAGTCCTTGCTCTCGTGCCCGGCCATGAAAGGAAAAAATCCCTCAACCCCAAACTGCCCTGGGCTACTCAATCCAGCAGTGGGTTTGGATATGGCTCCAGGCCCTTCTTCCGGGCAGTTTTACAAATCCTGAAGGAAACACCTTAAAAAGGGGGAAGGACAATTAAGAGATGAATCCCAGGAAGCCACCAGCTCCGTAACCCATCCCTGCCACTTTGTACCAACTCCATAGCAGTGAGGAGCCCATTTGGCTGCTTTTCATCCCATTTCCCTGTGTCCCATCTCAGCGTTTAGCTCCGATGTGTCCCTTCTCCATTTGTTACTGCTGCTCTGGCAATTAAAACACTAATTAATCCCAACAGCAATAGCCAATGCATCACACCTCCACGAGGGGCAGAGGCCTCTCCAAGAACACAAATAATCCCAAGGAAAGGCACTCACAGGGTAATTCATATAAAAACTTTATTAGAAACGAGGACACGGCCTCCCAGGAACAACATCCTGTGTTATCTCCCGAACTTGTACAATTTCAGAGCCATAATTAAATACAAGAGCTACAAAAAGGGTGTGCACAGCTATAAAAGGAAGGAGAACTAATCCTCAAAATGCCATTGTTTCAAACATGGCCGGGGAAAGGATTTTTCCACGGTGGTTTCCACGCAGGGCCCACGAGGCTGTGAGCTGGCATGATGCCCGTGGGATTTGGTTTCCATCCTAAGGACCAGGATGGGGTTTGATCTTATCACAAGTCTGTATTGCTTTAATTCAAAGGGAAGAGCAGAGTGTGATGGTTTGATATTCCATCTGACAGGTGATGCTGGGTAAATAGTTGTACTTTCAAACCTTGAAATCACACAGAAAAGGAGTATTATCCTATCCCTAGTTATATTTCAGTGGTAAATAATAATAATTATCAATAATAATAATAATAATAATAAAACCCAGAGGTACTACTGACACAGAAAAAAAAAAAAGGCCAGCCTCATTTAAGCACCATCTACAATGAGAAAACAAAGGATAAAT